TTCAAAGCAACACTTATTCTTTGCTCCTTTGATTCTCAATCGCCCGTTCTCCTAGGACAAGCCTGGCCTTGTGAGTATTAAACACACATCACCTTACATACAACCCTCTGGGCTCTGCATCACCATCCACACGGACGGTGAGCTGGCCAGCGCTCCCAGCCGCTCATGCAATGCGTAGCCTCACCTGTTTTACCACTGAAACGTCTCTTGACTGGGTCAATTCTGTTCCTTGCACACGGACCTTGAAAACTGGTCTTAATCTCTCCAGTATATTTACTGTACTGCCTCCCACCATAATCTTCACTGTCATCCTTAGGATACAATCCAGGCCCCTTCCCAGGACATGCAGGCCCTCCAGGAGGGGCCATGCCTCACCCGGTTGTACTGCACGCCAACCACACTGAGCCTCATTTTGTGTTGTGGAGGGTGTTCCCACACCTCCGTGTCCCTCCTCATGCTGTTCCTCTCTCCTCCTCAACACAGATCTTCTGTCTACTTCCGTTGATTATTCTCAGCTCCAAGGCCATTTCCTCCAGGAATCTTTTCCCAAATCCTCCTCCCAGCAACACTGGGTGGCTGCCTCTCCCATGTGCTCCCTGACACCCTGTCCTCTCCCAACTCAGTGTGTACCAGCTGTTATTTAAATTGTGATAAAATATACATAACATGAAATTTACCATTTTAATCATTTTAAGTGTACAGTTCAATGGCATTAAGTACATTCACACTGTTGTACAACTGTCCTCACCGGCCATCTCTAGAACTTCATCTTTCCCAACTGAAACCGTACCCATTAAATACTAACTCCTCACTCCACACCACCCACCCCCTCCACCAGAAACCTCCATTCTACTTTCTGTCTCTATGAATTTGTCTATTCTCATATAAGTGGAATCATGCAGTGTTTGTACTTTTGTGTCTGGCTTATTTCAATTAGTGTAATGTCTTCAAGGTTCATCTACTTTGTATGTAGCAGGTGTCATAATTGCCTTCCTTTTTAAGGCTCAACAATATTTCATTGTATGTATATATCATATTTGGTTTATTCATTTGTTTGTTGGTGGATATTTGGGTTGTTCCCATCTTTTGCCTATTGTGAACAATCCTGCTGTGAACACTGGTGCACAAATATCTGCTTGAGTCCCTGCTTTCAATTCTTTCGGGCATATGCCCAGAAGTGTAAATGCTGGATCATATGGTAAGTCTACTTTTTAATTTTTTTGAGGAACTGCCATACTGTTTTCCACAGTGGCTGCACCATTTTACATTGCTACCAGCAATGTACAATGGTTCTAATTTCTCCACATCTTACCCAACACTTGTGTTCTGTTTTTTGGTAATAACCATCCTGATGGGTGTGAAGTGATATCTCATTGTGGTTTTGATTGGACCAGGTAATGTCGTGGCTGCTTCTTGGATGATCTGTGTACCACAGTAGACCAAAGTGTTCATAAGGGCAGCACCTGTGCCTGTCTCAGTCACTTCCATGTGTCCTACCCCCGCAGAGCGCCTGCCTACAGTCACTATTGACCAAATAACTGAACAACTGAGAATGGACAAAATGTGGTCCAGTTGTCTTTTCAGAGCTCAGCATCAAAGCTTTTTCCCCAATGAAGCAGGCATGGTCCACACGGCAACTGACAGTCTTGGGTATGGTCCTTAAATGGCTGAACTGGGGACAGGGGCTAATTCTTTGCTCTACTTTTTGTCTTCAGATGATCTTTAAACCACTCTTATGCCTAACATAGACCTAGCTCTGCCATATCCTACAAGACAACATGCAAGAGGAAGGTGCTGTCACACCTAGACAGACGAGACAGACAGGCGGCTCGACCAAGTACATTTGCAAGTGACAACAGCCCACGGTTTTAGGGAACTTTAAACTTTTCTCATTTAAGTATATTCCAAATATACTCAAAATTTATTTAAGTCTTCTGAAAAGAAATGACATTTGAAAACTTGGTAACAGCCCTTGTATTTATGGGTTCTTTAGAAATAGCTCAGCTCAAACAAAGTTGGCTCAGGGAAGTGAGCAGAGAAGCATGTGCCGATCTGTTCGAGTGACTGCACAGCTGTATTTAGTCAGTTAGCATGTGGGTCAGGGGGGTTTAACAGGCCTGGGAGCCTGCTCGGCCTTCATTCCTGAACATGCCCATTTGATGTTGGTACTCACTCGTCACTTTTTCTAAAAGACTAGCACAGCCCACAGCATGTAAACACTCATCTTCCCAGTATATCTCGTGTGGCTGCCACACTGAGGGCCAGGATGACACTCCGCTTGCCAGGCCCTCCAGCAGCTTCCCACCCTTTGCAGTGCTTACCTTTCGCTGGACTCCTCTGAGGTCTTTTAAAGTCAAGGTCATTGATATAGGGAGTCATGATTCAGTACTAGAACCCAAGTCCCAAGTTCCTAGTCTAGCCCTTCCAATACCTGCTGGCCTCGCCTGCCCATGGCAAGGGAATTCACATGAGTTGGCCAGCACCACACTCCAATTTCTGGGTGGTGGACACGAGTCAGTATTGGTGGAAGTTTTGTGACTGCCCTGAGAATTAGACCCTTGCAGCATTACTGAGCCCCACCAGCCTTCCTTCAAGAGGGCAGGCATAGCCATCAGACCTGCTGACTGACTGGCAGGGTCCTGCTTTTCATGCCTGCACCCTCTTCTGGAACCACAGCCTTCCAGCTCCTTAGTTACCCATAGGGAGTTTCCCTATCCAGCTGCCAACTTATGGTCTCCACCTCAAGGGAAACTGAGGCTCGGAAAGGTTTAGAAACTTGCTCAAGTTCACATAGCTACCTAGGACCAAAACCGATTTTTTTCTTTTCTTTTTAAACTACTTTATTGAGGTATGACTCGTATGTCAAAAACTATACATATTTAATTCATACAATTCAATGAGCTTGGGGATAAGTATATACCCCTGAAACCATCACCACCATCAATAGACATATCTATTACCCCCTAAAATTTCCTCCCACCCCTTTTTACTGTGTGTGTGTGTAGCGGGTATGTATGTGTGTGAGGGGGGTAAAGAACAGTTAACATAAGATCTATCCTCTTAGCAAATTTTAAGTATATGATGCACTATGCTATATAGTAGATCTCCAGGACTTATTTACTTTGCATTCCTGAAACTTTATAGCCTTTGACCATTACCTCCTCATTTCCCCTCCCCCCCAGCCCTTGGCAATCACCATTCCATTCGTTGCTTGCGCGAGTTTGACTATTTTAGATTCCACATGTAAGTGAGATCATACAGTATTCATCTTTCCGTGTCTGGCTTATTTCACTAAAACCAATTTTTTGATTCCCTCTGCTGTGCTTGTTTTATCTCATTGTCTCAGATTTCAGCACCGCTCCTGGCAGCTAGGATACCTCTGCTGGGAGGAAGTAGGTGTAAGGTCCCAGCCACCTACCAAGTGCAGACAGCCCGTGCCTTTGATTGTAGCTAGGGATAGGGGAATCTCCCAAGGCCCAGATCCTCCATCCCTGCAAAATGTATATTGTGTCTTTTCCCAGCTGCCATATTCAATTAGTCCCCATAAGTCCTCTAAATTAGGGATCGGACTCTTCTCCACACCACTAGTTATTTTTTTAAACCTACAGGATGTCACAGCTGTCCTTCCATGCTAATGAGGCTACATCCCCACCCTAATTCTAAGATGCCGTCTCTTCTTTCACCATGAGGTTGGACCTCTCTGTATTTGAATTCTGCATTGAAAGTACGATGATGGCTATGGGATGAGAGGAGGAAGGTGCACGGGGACACTAAACAAAGTCCAGGGACTGGTCGCTCTCCTGGGTGTTCCATTCTCTGCACATAGCTGGTGTCAGGTCTGGATGACCTTGACCAAACTGACATCTTGGCCCCCTTCGCTTTTCCTGGAACAGGCCTCCCTGGTCAGTGGGGGAACCCTCTAGGCCAGCAGTTTTCCAACTTGTCCTACACAAACACTAGTATAGAGGACAGGTGACAGTGGGGCCGGGCTGGACGAAGCGTGTGTGCCTGGGGCGAGGGAGAGGGCCAGGAGGAGGGCAGGCTCCTCTGTGGCCCCACCATCCAGGGCAGCCCCGAGCTCAGCAGCACTGGGAAGAGTCCCCTGTGAGGGGCAGACCTAGTTCACAGCCCTCAGTTTTCCTCTCTCTGGGATTTTGGGCCCCCTCTTGCTCGGGGCTATACCCTCTCTGGGAGCACTACAAATAAGAATTAAACTGAATCCTACTAGTGCTAATTGAACAAACCCGCAGAGTGAGATCAATGATGCCAGTGGTTTCCACTGGCAGCACGGTGCCCACAGGCCTCATGGAGAGTCTCTGGGCCCCTCACAGAGGGTGTCAAGGTGCAGTCTGGCTCCTTCGAGTGCAGCCTCAGCTCCCCATCTGTAACAACAGGAGTTGCACTAGAGGTATCTCAAAATCCTTTCCAATTTCTCAAGTTCTGTGATTCCTGGGAGCTGCTCACGTTTCATAAGGACGTTAAATGCCTTTGGCAGTAGGCTTTCTGGTGTGATACAGTGTTCCTCCATGAGGGAGGACTCTGTAAGTCATGACCCAGGAGAGACGAATCCAAGGCCAGGGACGTCACTGTCTTCTGTAGGACAGAATGACCTCGGTCCTACTAAAGAGAACCATACCCTAGAGATCCAAGCCTGAGGCCGAGCACAGGGCGCTGAAGGCCAACAAGCTTGGGTTTTGATCCTGCATCCCCCATTTTTCAGCTGGGTGACCCTCTCCTCCAGAAATAAAGGTATTGATCCCTGCATGCCCAGCTCCCTGCCTAAACCCATAGAGAAGAAAGAATGGGTTCTCGTATGAGTAAGAGACCTTTTCCATCTGAGAAGGGCTGCTCCTGTAGAAGGGAGCCCGACCTCTCACCTTTCTCTCACCTTTGTTTCTAGATTCACTCCCAAAAGGCCTGGGAGAAAGGCCGGGTTCGGAGGCCAGCTGATAGAACCAGGAGACCAGGGTGGTGGTGACCAGCGTGCACTTTCATTGCAGGGAACAGCAGCCTCTTTCAAGCTGATCTCTGTCGGAAGCATTGGCAGGACCTGCCCCCCAGTAAGTGCCACAGCACCGCCCAGGACACCCGGAAGGAGACCAGCAGCATGTGGGGTCTCATGGTGGTCGCGCAGCTGCTGGCAGGCATCGGGACAGTGCCCATTCAGCCATTTGGGATCTCCTACGTGGATGACTTCTCGGAGCCCAACAACTCGCCCCTGTACATCTGTGAGTTACAGGCTTGAAGAGGGCTGCAGAGAGGGGGTCCTCTCTGGGTCCTGACGTGACACCTGCTCAGGCCCTGAGAGGCTGAATCAAGATCTAACCCTCTTTGCCCCACAACACAGCAAATGAGGGCAGAGGTTTGCAGATCAGACAGACCTGATCTGAAGGCCAGCTCTATTACCTACCAGCTGCAAGATCTTGGGCGAATAACTGAGCCCCAGGGCCCCAGGCTCCTCACCTGCAGAGTGAGGCTAGCAGTGAGGTCGTGTATGTAACCACTTAGCCCCATGCAGGGCACAGGAGAGCTGCTTGACCAGCGGTAGCTACTGGGACTGTCCTGTTCTCTAGGCACAGACCAGGGCACACATGTCTTCCTGAGCCATCCGCTTAGGGATGGCTTGGCCTCAGATAGGCACAAGCAAAGTAGATGGCAGGTAATTATCTGACTGCCCACATCCTTCCCTTAGAATAAGCCACACTGAGCATCTTCAGGGCTCACACCTCAGACTGGACATGTTACACTCACTGGCTCTGTGGCCCCCCAGGACCCTGACAGGGCCACCAACATTGTCCCCACAGGGAGCTTCACCCACCTACACAGCCCCAGACTGGCATCTTTAAATGCTGGGGAGGCTGTTTCCTTCCTGGCAAGTAGATCTCTCTGACAGCTTGCTGGAGGAGAAACAGCTTTAGTTCTGCACATCTTAGGATCTTGAGTTGTTCTGGCCTTTTCTGTGGGAAATGCCACCAGTATAGACTTGTCAGAGTCTGGAGACAGATGGGGTGACAACTCAGGAATCCCTCAGCTAGGGAAGGAGCCCGGGGCCACCACACCCTCTCGATCCCCCTCAGCCTCCTTTCCCTGCTCCCCTTTCCAGCCATCTTATTTGCCATCTCCGTGTTTGGGCCGGCCTTCGGGTACCTGCTGGGCTCTGCCATGCTGCGGGTCTTTGTGGACTACGGCAGGGTGGACACAGGTGAGTGTGTGCGGGGACTCCCATCCCATCACCAGTTCCGTGAAGCAGCCGCCCCTATCCCCCAGCAAGTCAGGGCAGAGAATGAAAGCTTCAGCTGCAAAGGCTCACTGCCACCTTGCTCACTCCTCAGTGAAGTCCCTCAGAAAGCCAGAAGCAGACACCGAGCACCTCCTCTCAGCAGGGGCTGTGCTAGATGCTCTGAGGGGTATGCTGCAAAAGAAAATACACTTTCTGCCCTCAGGAAGTTTTCGGTGGGCCACCACCACTGCCCATCCTGGTGGTGGTATTAAAAACCATTCCCATCAGCCAGAAGTTGTGGCTTGAAGGCAAATCTGAGGCAGATCCTCAGGCATAACACCCCTACCTGTGCCTGGCACACAGATCAGAGCCTGCCCATCTCACAAAGAGTTTGAGCAGGTGTTAAACCTAACCGTGCTGCCAGAACCCCCAGACTCCTGTCCCCAAGACATCAGACCATAATGTCATCTGCACCGTGTCATCTGTCTGTACTTCAAACAAAAGGGGAAAGCCAGGGGGAGATTTCTGTCCCAGGGTCAAGGCATCTTTGCCCTGTCATGGCACTTCCTGCATTGACAACTATTAAGCTCAGTTAATAGTCTCTTTGGGCAACTACCTCTTAGTTGCCCAAAGAGACTATGAACTGAGCTTCCAGTCCACCGGGAACAGTACCCAGGGATGCCTGTCACTGTTTGGCTAAGGGCCATTCTGCTGCTTTCTTCCTCCCTGCCCGCCCATGTAGTTTCTTTACAAAGAGAAACACAATGGCAGACTCCTAGATGCCAATGAGAGACTTGCTAGGAGAAAGCATCTCCTTCGTAGACCAGGCAGCCCAATCTGTTGATGGTTGTTTCCTCGGGCTCCTAATGAGTAGAGGCTTCCTTTCTTAGGGATCAATACAGTTGGGAGGCAGTACCATTCAGCGGTTAAGAGCGCAGATTTGGGTACTAGGAAGGCGTAGGCTTAAAACTGACCAATAAAATGGCGCTTACTAGCCTTAACCTTGGATAAAGACAAGGTTAACCTCTATGATCCTATTTCCTGATTGGTTGGAGGTGAATGGACATAGCTTCTACCTCATAGACCTGTTTGGAGAACCCAGCAGGATAATAGATGTAAATATGTGGTCTAGTGTCTAACCCATGGGAAGCTTTGAGAGAGTCATTATCAAAGATTGGGAATAAAATAAGGTGAGGCCAAGGTTCTGATCTCTTCAGCCCAGGGATTCTCTGGTGCTCTGCTTCATGCACCGTGGCCTCTATTCCCTGGGGAGACCAGAATGGCCTGGATAGGGAATGTCGTCTTGACCAAGGTTCTAGCTCATGGCTTTACCTCTTCTCCATCATGGGGAGAATGTCCCCCTGATCAGAGAGTCTCTTTCTTATAAGGTAAGATTATGCATTCATCCAACAAACATTTGTGTCCTTTGCTTTCTCTTCAGCCTTAGTTAACTTGAGCCCCGGAGACCCACGATGGATTGGAGCCTGGTGGCTGGGCCTGATCATTTCCTCCGCTTTCTTGGTTCTCACCTCTTTCCCCTTTTTCTTCTTTCCTCGCACAATGTCCAGAGAAGTGGAGGTAAGGTTCTGAGAGCCTGTGACTCTACCTATCGAGGTTTAAGAAAGGGAGGTAAACATAGAAAATAATCAGAGCTGAGAAGCTGCAGCAAGTTAAGCAAACTCTGGGTGAAATCTACACGAGTCTCCTGATGCAGGACTTCTCAGAGGCTTGGAGAAGTGAGAGAGCTGGTGAATTTCCAAAAAGATGGTGTCTCATCCGTGCTTCCTTTTCATGTTAGCATCCAGGGAATGTAGTTCCATACACACTGAGTTCATTTAAGTTGGGAGAAAAAGTGAAGATCCAATAAAAGCCAAAAATGTGACCTGGCACAGTTGGCTTCTGCATTTCATGGGGCCTCCTGTGCCTGAGCCTGAAGCACTGAGTGAGGGGGTCCTAGTGCTGAAGAGTGTGGGGTGGGCTGAGAGCAGAGTATATTTTGAGCAGACTGACCTTCCACACATCTTCCAGTCTTATCTGTTGGGGAAAGAGAAATCAAGGAAGGATGAGAATGGAAAACAGTGAAGAGAAGTCTGCATGGAGGCTTTGATGTTAGGCTGACAGGTCTAAAACTCGTTCTGATCCCATGAAGTTCTGGGGTGCTGCGATGACAGGGTGACCACTCACTCAGGTGGCAGCATGGCAGCTAGGCTGAGGTTGGGGAGTCAGGAAGGAGGGAAGGCTGGAAATCAGAAGAGGCCAGAGTAGAGATGCGGAATGTAGCTGAGGGCCAGGGCAGCGACAGCTGAGGCAAGGGCTGGGACAGCCATTCTTGGAGAGGGTGCCGAGAAGGACTCAGCAGTGAGCTGGATTCGAGGAGAAGAAGGGCCACAGTTAGCGCCAGAGTTTTGAGTCAGAGACAGAGCTAGATGTTCAGCAACAAGGTACGTGAGATCTCGGCCCAGCGATGGGAGGAGGGATGGAGTAGGAGAGTCTGGGCTTGTCTTGAGGGAAAATTAAAGAGTTTGGCAATACATCATAGGGGTTTGGGGGTCAAGCAAACCTGAGTTTGAATACAGTTCTGCTACTTGTAAACTAGATGAGTGATCTTAGGCAAATTTCTTTGTCCCTAAGTTTCCTCTCCTTTAAAACGCTGGAGATAGGGTATGTATCTCAGAAGGAGGTTGTGAGGAATGAGACAATGCATGTGGAACGCTAGACGCCGTGCCCAACATGGAGAAAGTGCTCAGTGAATGGGAGCTTCTGTGCCTGGCTATGGGTTCCTCTGGAGGATCTTGACAGTGTCAGAGCTCGGGTGGTTCAGAGCTGCAGCTGACAAGTTCAGAAGAGACTGAGAGTTCACTGAGGCGTTATTCATGGAAAGTGCAGCAAAGGGCCAGATGGAGCCTTGAGTGAGACCCAACTTGGAGCCCAGAAGGAAGCAGAGACTCCATAGAGGAGAAAGAGAGAGCTGGAAACAGAGGTCATTCTAGACTAGAGTGTCCCAGAAGCCAGAGGCCCCTGAAATCCGAGGACGAGGAAGAAGTGTAGCCATCACAGACAGGCAAGGGGTGAGATCCAGTCAGACACCTTTTGGCATCAGCCATGGGAAAGTTAGACCTGAAATAATGTGCCCAGAAGTATCTTGGGAGGCATCAGTATGTGTGAGTTCTAATCAGCAGCCAAAGCACTGGGCTCACTGACATGCAGGTGGTGTTGGCTTCAAGAGAGCAGTCTCTGGACACCTCGCTACTTACCCCAGGGGCAGCTCACTGCTGCCCAGCCCTGAGTCACTGAGACCAGAAGGGTCAAGGGCATAAGAAAGGGGGCTACAGGGAGCCTAGGCTATTAACACTTACCTCTTTTGCTTCCTCCAGAGGTCTGCCATCACTGACGAGGCAAGGAAGATGAAGGAGGTCAAGCCAAGAGGCTCCCTGGTGGATTTCATTAAACGTAACTGATAAGCCCGACAAAGCCCTGAGTGGGCTGGCTTTGGGAAGGGAGAGAATTAGGGGGGTACCCAAACCCATCGCTGCGTGTGGTAAGGGGCAATAAGAGCAGGTGGTCTATAATTGGTCCATCTCTCAGAGAGAATTCTTCCAGGGGTCCTGGTGACTGCTTCTTTGTGTGTTCCAAGTGACTCAAATTCAGAGTCAACCCCATCCTGATAATTTGGCCCCTGTGCTCTTCTCTCTCCTGCCTTCTCGTGGAGGTGGCTAGCATGTGAGGACAATGTTCCCACTGTTAGTCTTATTTCTAGCCACCCTCCATCTGATTTTTCCAGGCACATTCGCTTTTTCTTTAGCCCATAAACATGTTGAGTGGGGGGCCGGGTGGCTGTGTGCCCCTGGACTGCCCACTGAACACCTTGGTGCCTCAGATTCTGCCCCGAGGAAGGAGAAGGAAGGGCAATAGCCAGTCTCACAGTACCCCATGATGACTGCCACCCTCAAAGACCTGGCCCCTGACAGCCACCTGTTTGCAGGGTTTCCCCGCATCTTCCTGAAGCTCCTGATGAACCCACTCTTCATGCTGGTGGTCCTGGCTCAGTGCACCTTCTCCTCGGTCATCGCTGGCCTCTCCACATTCCTCAACAAGTTCCTGGAGAAGCAGTATGGCACCTCCGCAGCCTATGCCAACTTCCTCATCGGTGAGTCCTAGGGGTGCTGCAGAAACTGGAGGGAGCGACTGGGAACCTTCTGCTGCCCGTCCAGGGACGAGCGAGGGCAGACTGAACACAGATGGGAGACAGAGGAGGACTCGCCCAGGAGAAAGAATTTTAGGGACATTTTTCCTAGTTGGAAATCTAGAATGTTCTTGGCAGATTTCTGGGGCTTCTATTATTCCAGGCAGGAATGGGCAGAAGCTAGGAGCTGCTTTCCTCCCCATTAGAGGAGCTGGAAGCTTGACAGCCTCCCCAAAAGCCCTAATGTCATCAGGGGCAACAGAGGAAAGAGAGAGGATTGAATTTGAAATTAGGTAAAATGCCTCCTGGTTCTGTTCCCTCTTCTCAAGGACTTGAATACATTGCTTGGGCAAGGAGTCTGTGGCCCAGTGATTCTCAACCCTGGCTGTACTTTAGACTCTTCTGAAGAGCTTTAAAAAATACAGATGCCCAGGCCCCACCCTCCACCAATGAAAGCAGAGTCTCTGGGTGGGACCCATCATTGGGGGTTTTTGCAACTGAAGTTGAGAAGCATTGATGTGGTCTCATCTAGTACCCAAGTGAATTACTGGGCCCAATCCACAGATGAGCTTGACTGCATGGATATGAAAAGATGGTCAGGGCATGACCCCCGACCTCTAGTGTGGCCCTTGGCCTTGACCTTACCCCTCGAGCCTTTGGCCTCTGACTAGCACATGAGGCAGGGGGCACCACCAGTGCCTTGCTAACCCTGCACGATCACAGTGAGGATGCAATAAGGGGTCAGGTAATGACAGGCACTTAATCAATGCACATTCAACCCACATCCCTCTGGCTGCAAAAGCCTTACTTTTCTCTTTATTTTCTGCACAGGCAGGGAAATCATCTAGGTCAAGATAACTCTGTAGATGTGCTTGGGAAATAGTAAATGCTCAATTAATATCAGGTATTACTATTGCAGCGGAGCACACTAAATGTTCTCTCAGGAACATTTTGTCGTGCCCCTTCTCCGTGGTCCGGCTCGGCGTCTGTGCCCACGCACCTCCCAGGCCTGCGCACGCAGACCAGCTCCTGTCTCTCCACAGGTGCCATAAACCTCCCTGCCGCGGCCTTGGGGATGCTGTGTGGAGGGATCCTCATGAAGCGCTTTGTTTTCTCTCTGCAAACCATTCCCCGTGTGGCTGCCACCATCATCACCATCTCCATGATCCTCTGTTGCCCCCTCTTCTTCATGGGATGCTCCACCCCGGCTGTGGCGGAGGTTTACCCCCCCAGGTAATGGGGATGAGGGGAGAGAAGATGCCCTTTGCTAAGGACAGAGCCTGGACCTGGCGGACGTGCATCTTCCTTTCTGTTTCTTCAACTCTCTTCCTTCCTTTTCACTTTTTGATCTAATACCTTATGTGGCAACTTAGAAAATCAGATCTTGAATAACATACTTAATCATAAAAAGAAATCAGAGAGTCTTAGTGGGCCAACCAGCAATCAGGATTAAGGCTCTGTTTTTTTTAAGAAGCCCCCAAAACTAATTAGTTTGGTTTCACGATGAATCTGTAGGGCTGTAAGCCTCAGGAACCAGGAAATAAGCTATGTTTAGCATCGGCTCCATGCGGCTAGAATTACTGAGTCTCATTGAGCTGCTGAAGAAAGATGAGAGAAGGAGTCTTACAAAGATCTGGGGGGGGGAAACAATGAAAGTGATGGCAGACTTGAAAAATTAGGGCAGGTGAGGAAGAGGGCAGGTAAAGTACACCTGTCGGTTTTGCACAAAGCAACATGGTCCTAAGTCTTAAGCCTGGCTTCATATTCAGGAAGAGCTTTAGAAGCCCGTGAGGGGAGGGTGCTGGGCAGGGAGTATTTAATTTTTTTCTGGATGCCACCTTTCTTTTAGATTTTGCCTAATGAGGTTACAACATAAAGAGATACTATACCTTTCAGCCTTGGTGTTTTCTCTGTCTTTCTCTTTGAAATAACCTCTCGTGTATTTTGTGGCTGAAGGAGAGAAGGGATATGCAGAAAGGGAAGGTTGGTCAGGATAGGAACCCACTACCCCCCAGTTTGTATTGGTTTTCTGCAGGCTGACTATGGATTGAGAAGCTGAGAAGGGTTGGGGCCTTTTGGTGGCTTTTAATAGTTTAGCACTGGGCTTCTAGTTCTGGCCTTGCCTTTACTAGTTGGGGAAAGTTACTTAACTTATCTAATCTTCAGTGTCCTCATCCATAAAAGCAGCATAATAATTATAGGGTTATTGTGATGAATGTGCATGAAAAACCCTTGGGCACACTGCCTGGCCCATAAAAGATGCCCATTAATGTTAACTATCATTAGTATAATTATTCTAGCAATGCTGTGCACTGTGGTTTGTCAGCCCTATCCCAACCCTCCCCAAAGAGGATTATGAATATCAGATATGGGGGATGGTGGGAACAGTGCGTTCATCTGGAGAAATCCCCTTGGTTGAAGCTCAGAGGGTTGGAGGGACCTGGGCAATGTCTACACAGATCCAGAGACAGGAGCCATCTAGACTCCAGATTGCCTCAAGGGGTCCCAGTCTGTCCCTCAGCCTGAACCCTGGTAGAAGAGAACGGAAGGGAAATACTGTCTTTGATTTTTGTGTAGCATCTGCCTTCTCTCTTATCAGAGTCTTGGTGGTTGTTCATCTTGACCACTTCCGCAGTGAGGGCTTTGCCGACCAAGCTTCTGTGACTAGCAGTTGGTGGGTTTGGGCTCCTGGTGGCAAAAGAAATGGAGAGGTGCCATGAACACGGACCAGCAGCCAATTCACCATTGGCCCCAACAAGCATAATTCAGATCCCAAGTGGCACTGACCCAAGACAAACAGAGACGCACAGGCACACTAACCAGGCGGGGGCTCACTCTGGGCTGGAGTGCAGAGGTTTTTCTTTGGTCTTACTTTGTTTGAGTCCCTATTTCCTGTTTTGCTGGCAGCACATCAAGTTCTATACATCCTCAGCCTCCTGCCTGCCGCCGGGACTGCTCGTGCCCGGATTCCATCTTCCACCCGGTCTGTGGAGACAATGGGGTAGAGTACCTCTCCCCGTGCCATGCTGGCTGCAGCCACATCAACATCAGCTCTGCAGCCTCCAAGCAACGGGTAAGGGCAGGAGGAACCCCGAGGGTCCCCGTGCTCAGCATATACCCTCACAAACTGCTCCTAGGCTCCAAGTGGACAGGGCACCACCCTCATTCCCCTCATCATGGCCTCTGGGCCATACCTGTCCTCTCTCCACCTCCCCGTCCCTAAGGCCATGACCAGATGCCTACAGCTTAAAGTCAATTAAAGATTGACCAAAGTTCAAAATGCACATTCCTGAGGTTTGGAGCAGAACCAGCCAAAACACTCATTCGGCTGCGGCCTTCTAGGCTCATTCTGACAGATCCTAATGGGCATCTCTGGGTCATGCATTCTGGCCGTGCTGGAAAGCCACATGGACTGGCCCAGAAAAATCAAGAGCAGAGGGTCCTCTGGGATGTGGACCTGAAAGGTTAGAGCTGGAAGCGGTGATCAGAGCATTGGGTTCACCCCCTTAATTCCCAGGTGTGGCCACACAACTGTCCTGTAGTCATGCAGTTATTTAGGGGCAGATCTGAGTCTAGAACCAGGACCCTGCTTCATTCTGTGGGCACATCTCTTCAAGGTCAGATATCTCCTGGCCTTCCACTCCTGTAGCCCACATTTACTAGCTCACTTGGTACAGTCCTTTCAGCCTTCTGAGTGCGATGGCCCCTGAACTTCTAGGATCAGTCAGCAGCAAACCCACTTGAGTCCCTTGTTCAGTTTTTCAATAGATATTTAGTGGACACCTGGCACAGCCGTAGGTGCTGAGGATTCAGTGGTAAACTCATCAGACACAGTCCCTGCTCTCATAGAGGTGACAGTCTATCAGATAAAGGCACAAGATAGTTTTAGAAAGTAACCCATGCCATCAAGAGACTTCATGGACAGAGAGTGTTTGGGGGCCTTCCCGAGAAGGTGACGTTAGAACTGAACAACCAGAAGAAAATCCTACGAAGACCTGGGAGCGAAGCATTCCGACTAAAGAAACAGCAAGCCACAAGTCCCCAGTGTTGAATCCGCTGAGTATAGGAGAAAAGGGAGAAGATCAGGGCTGGCACTGAGGAGTGTCACACCCAGCCAGGCCAGGGAGCGGGCAGGGCCAGGGCCAGGCAGGCCAGGTTTAGAAACTGAGTGTTCTTTGTCCTAAGATCAGTGAGAAGTCTGTGTGGTCCCCTAAGGAAAGGATTGCACCTTATTCTCTTAAGCCTTTGTTGAGGGCACGGGCGATGCTAGCCCCCACTTAACCATCCTCCTCTCAGAGGACAGGGCAAAGCTGCTTCCACAGCCACCTCTGGGTCTCAAGTAGAAAGAAGACAAGGAGCTTAGACGAGATGCTTTCTCAATTGCCTTCCAGTTGGAGAAGGCTGTGGTGGCTTCTGTGATTTTCTTATCTTTATTTACTCACCTCTGACTCATCTACTTTCACAAATAATCTTGACAAGTTTTCAACAATGGCTTGAATCATCCATTAGTATAATATCAAGAAAAAATTAGTAAATTATAAGGGAAAAAAATCTAAGTTAAAAAAATCCAGACAGAGGAAAGTAGCAGCCATATAGCATATAACTTATTTCTGAGCTTCCTAGCAGCCAACATA